ACAATGAAATATAAATAGATTGTGAAATTCAACAGTTATCCATGCAGGCGAAATACTTTCGTTAATGTTTAAGAATAAGCAGGAGCTCTAGAAATCTACTAGCAAATGCTACAGACGGCAGAACGAAATAAATCATGCAAAAAAGAATCAATTCACCTCGGCCATGAGTTGAGGAGCATATCCAACAGAAGCAGGTGTTGAATTAGTAGAACTCAGATGTTCTGATTTGGTGACCGTCACACCCCCATGGACGCAGTCTCAGTGAAGCTCATGTAGAGATGGGAACTGGAAGAGGTACTGGAAATCACGAAGGGGACATTCAAGTGAAGTAAAATGAGTAAATCACGTAAAATCAGTGCAAAAAGCTTATAAGCAATGTGAGTAAAGGTTTCTCCTTAGATTCAGTAGAGATTGCAACTGTTTAGTGCAGTTATAATAGAAAAATTACTGAATGTTATTGATGTAGTCGTTTCGCATGCATTTGGGATGTTATTTTTAGAAAGAATTCTAATCAGTGTTCCTTGTTCTTCTATCACTGGAATGACTTTCGATGCCGCGGATAAGGGGGGGGGGAGATCAAACGTGAAAGGTATATCTAGCAACACTCTCTTTCACAAGCTAATTATCTAACTGATTTTACATATGCCCAATAATGTGGAGTGCTGTGCAAATCTAATTGATTATTTGATTGCTAGTGATTCGAAGCAATGCTTAAGGGCGAATTAATGTTGCCATAGGAAATAAAGAATGAATAAGATTGATTTGTGAATAAGCATGAATCAATTAGCACAAAACATAAATTAAGCAAGTGAAATTTGTCCTTTCCATAAGGATGTAGTTTTCGCAGCGAAGAATGTGGCGTTTTAGGAAGCCTCAACGTTGTTTCCACTGAAAATAAGTTCGCTGAAGTATCTTCAATGATATTCAATCTTTTAGTGGAAAAACTCGCTTAAGTAGGTGCACGAATCTCAATTTAATTACGAAACTATTAGATCATCATTGAGGCACGCGCCGCTAGCCGCTTTTCAGCGCCGTCCATATATTTCATCGGCTGAAAACGGTCGTCGTCGCGAATGAGCTGAGAAATATTTCTATCTTTTAGGCATGCGCAGTCACTATGCTGTATCACAATCGGAGGGACGCTCCACTTCTTCCGTTCAGTGAAAGAATAAACAAGCCAATGAGAAACAATCGTAAGTATTTTTAACAATGTTAGATTCTAGTTTACCTAAATTTAGTTCCATTGGTACTTTTGCAGATGAGTGGCTTCCGGAAAGCATGCTCAGGCCTTCACTGCCAGAATCAAGATTTGGCAGTTGTGATCGAGACCACACTACATGTGATACTGATGCTTTTGAGGAATTCATATGAAATTCTTTCCGAGCTGACTCTCGAGGAGTAACGTTTTGTCCCTGTTAGTTTTTGGTAATCATGAGTTTTTTCTGGTCACAACGTCCAGTTGAGAGTGATTTCCACTAAGCAGAATTTTTAATGTATGTGTGCCTGGCAACTAGCCAGATTACATGTCTCAGATGACTTGATTTGCAACTTAACATGCTACCTTCGCGTCAGTCTTGCGTTTTTATTGCACAACCCACTTTTCAAAGATAAAATGTCCAACAAACATCTGCTCTAAAACTCTGAAACTAATTCTCAAAGCTTTCATTCTGCATAACTTCACAATCTCTTCAAATCGATTGTATCCAAAAGCTTTATATTACAAATGTACCGTAGATTTTGCTTCTTGTGATGGTGCATAAGAGTAATGAGTGCTCCATTTTTAGTAGTCTGTCGCAAAGACAAGAATTGTTTTCTGTGCAGGTGTTTTGGGATGCACAAGCTGTGATACTCCGAAAGAGTTCGCATACATTTCCAGCATTGATTTCTCAAGTTAGAGAGAACCTGAAGGCAGTGAAGGTATTGCTATGGTTCGTAAAATCGGTGTTTTATGTATAACTATGTCTTTCCAAACTTTATTAGCCTGGCGTTCTTTTTTGGTAAACTTATTACTTAAGTAATCCATCCAAATACGGCTGTGAAAAGGATGTGCGATTTAAGTGCGTGCAGAATATGTTAGCAGTAAGCAGTGCTTGACAATTCATAATTAATAAGCTGTCCCATATCGCTGAGAAAACTGACATGCTATTTATCAAGATGTTCTTTTTGTACATATAAGAGGAATACCTCATAGGTTTATGATAGGTGCTGAGCTGTTGATAGTCTTGCGACATGTAATACCTGTAGAAATATCTTGCTTCGGAAGTTGTTAGTTTGAGCAACATCAATCTATTCTGATCGTTGACAGAGAAAGTTCATCCCTCTGTGATAGTGTCACGGAGACGATATTTTTGTTTACATTACGTTGGTATAGAAAGATTAATGGTTCGCTTTGCATGAGTTTTATGTGATCAGACGGCATCGCTTATTCGTAGGGAAAAGGCTAATAGTATATCTGTCATCATCAACGGCTTCATGCCATTGTATCTGTACACTACGAATAAGTCGCGGCGACATCCACTGTGCAGAAGACCTATCAATTTTGATTAGATGCGTATATGCTGCCTGCCCTAATCGAGCAGATATGTCTGTTGAGGCCTAGAACAGCGCTCGTTGGGCTTACAGCGTTACTGAAAGCTGCCTTCAAAAATGCCACGTGGCGCAGCATCCAGGGTTTAGGCTTTAGAATGATTACCAGTACTCTTATGACGAAACCTTGTCCAGAGAGATAAATTGAATCCTCACTTGCCACCATACAGCAGATAATAACCAAAAAATGTGTTTCGCACGCGTTACACTTGTTTCGCGTCTTCGCATGATACAGCTCGTTTTTCCATGAAAAACTCACTCCTTGAAGGTCTCATAATTGATCGGTAGCTCAGATCTCAAGATATTCAAGAAATTTATTTTCTTTCCATAGTGGCTTTACTTACAGCGCTGTAGCAAAACGGAAAGCTTTGTTTTACCTCTTGTTTTTCCGTAAAACAGAGCTCTTTCTTGGAATTATAAGTAGATAATCCACAACGCACGCTTTGACAAAAACAGCGATGTCTTATATTCTGAAGAGACGGTTCTCTTCCAGTGTATTAGGGAAAATAATATTTAGTTTTACGTACACCGCGCAAGGCAAGCAACTTTTTTTTTGCCGAATCACTACTTTTCATCATTATGATATAATCTCTTCAACAAGTCAGAAATATCTTGGTATGTTGGTATATTTATTGTAACAGTTCGATAAAGCAGCGTTCATTAACCTATGAGGAGTATTTTATGGAATGTTTGCTTCTCTAACGAAATTCTCACGTCGGTATTTCCGGCGTTTTCGCCCTTCTCAGAGCCTGGATGTATCTGATGCCATATCTTATTAGTCGAGCAACATTCCGTATATCTGGTGGAAATCTAGTGCAAAATCCATCGGAAAGCCTATTCAGTAGAAAAACTCACCACTAAGTTACTTACATGGGACGTGTCACGGTGTACGGTGACAAACTTCAAAAAATGAACCCTACTCAAATTGGGAAATGAATTTAATAGTAGACACTATATCATTGCTTATGTTTAAAACTTCCTCTCTCTATTCATTCATTAACTTTTGAAGCTTATCCAAGTGGTTTCAAGGGTATTTCGCGCCAATGTTTTTGATTGTTACTCAAGATTCCTACCATCACCTCAAAGTCTTTACCGCTGTGCTTTCTCTTATGCACGTAAGAAAGAGTTCTTGCTCGACTTTTCGACTACTCAACGAGTGCTCTTTTATGCGGATACAGAATAGGCTCTCCGTTTTGCTTATCTATTTAGCACCACACTCTCAAGAGATCGAGCATATCATGCTTGAACTCACACAGTATGTGTTCCAACTATTAGATCATCCACGCTACTCTCTGTCTTACATAAACGGTCATACAGGTGGTTTTGATTCAATCAGCGATGCGATATGATAAATGGAATCTCCATCAATCTTGCAGAGTTTTCCATAACACTGCTTTAATAGCCTCAATCAAAGTTGTTTGAGAGAGATAACTTCCGCCTCTATCACAGTTTTTCCAAGGAGAATGAGAAAGGTTTCATGAAAATTCTGGCTCATTGTAGGCTGATCGCCCATTGTCTGAGGCTGCTGATGCTACGTCGCAGACAAACGTTTGCTCCACATAGGAGATCTGTTAATCGTCTGAAAGAAGCGACAGCTCTGTTGCGAAAATTGAGTTGAAAGGGGAAGCAGAACTTGATAAGAACTGAATGAAAACAGCACAGTCAAAGAGGAGCTCAAAGGGTTAAGAAAAATTTTACTACGTAAAGTGTGAATATGTTTATACATATCGAATCTCAGTGTGATTATGTCTTGCTTGAACTTAAGAACTATTTCATCAGAATTTTTTCGTTACCACATTCAGAATTTGTAACTTGTTTATTGTTTCGTGTGTAGTAGTGTGCTTAGTATATAACATACTAATCTTATTGTAGCTTCATTGTCGCACAGTATGTGGCACTTATCCCTCATATCACTTCACCATTCTATAAAAGAAGCTATACTTTTATTTCAATGTAGTTTCTTACTCATGTTTTACCTTCGCTTATTGGTTTCGTTGTTGTTTCATCGTTGATAGTCTATACAGTTCCTGATGTCGTCGTGTTGCTCTTGTTCTCTGAAATTATAGAAAGGCTCAGTTACGCAGGTATTTTTCAGCTTCACTCTGTGCCAACAACGAAAAGTTTCGCGTGTCGAGATCGTAAGAAGTTGAGCAATCAACAATGAGCTAGCGATTATTTCTAAAGATGTCCTTAGTGTAAGGAAAAGTACAAGCTAAGAATTGGACTAAGGCTCAGGCCTTAGCATAGGTAGAGGGCTCTGAGTGCAGACTCATCGGTCTCAGTAAAGCTCAAGAGATTCAACACAGTTCTACAACATGAAATAATCCCATTTATCCAGTTGTTTGGAATTCAGGTTTTCAGAGACGGCAGACAAGTAGACGCGTTGTAGCGTAGAAAGAGTGGGGTCAAACCGGGCGTCGGTAGTGTAGCGGTTGGGCACGCGCTCCCGGATAGGGTTAAATGTGGGATCGAATCCCAACTGACGCAAATATTTCTTCACACCGCACTACATCATTAAGTATATAGTTTTTCATGTTAAGCGTGGTAAGGTTTGTCAGTTATGAGAAAACCCCACTCATAATGTCATTCGTAAGAATGATAAAAAATGCACAATCCTTGTGACCAAATATCGATTTCTGTTCCACAGTGAAGACTTCAAAAGAGAGCTTGCAAGCCATGCCCCAAAAATTCGCCTAGGCCTCTTGTAAAATATCACTTCAAGCTCTGCTATGGCTGACGTCACCGTTTTCCTTTCTTGTCAAATTTGGTGATATCTCTTACACCTAAACTTCTTTGTTAAGCGTTACATTTAAGGTCATTTCGGTCATCCAGGGCCAATGACCATTCGACCTGATTCCGTGGACAAGACTTTTTATAGGAATGCTAAAAATCTTTCGGAGGCATAAATCTCTGGTTGGAGCGCTATGTGGCCGTTTATGAAAAGGTCATTTTGCAACACTGTGATATACAAAATAAAATTATATTTCAAATTCGCCTCGCACTTCCATTTTTATTACGCTTATAGTTCTTTTAAGAAGCATATCGACGTGTAAAAGAAATCGCCTAGTATCTGGAGCAATCCTTCTATCTGAGGTTTCTTCTGTTTCTTCTGTAGTAGAAAAAAATTTCTACTTGAATAACAATCTGCCATCTCACATGTCTAACCATCAGGCATCGACTGATTGTCCCACCCTCAGCACGCAGGTTAGCTGGTAAACAAGCTTGCCGGATAAGTGATATTTAATCTTATTTTCCTTGCTACAACACGTGAGACGCTTTTTCCAGAAAACAATGTCAGCGCTTGAATCATTAAAACTTACGCTATTGAATGATTACTAATAGTCTAAATAAAGAGCTCTGACCCATGAGGTGCAAAACATAAATGTTTTCTGTTCCCTGCAGCTTTATCTAAAGAGCTTTTTCCAAAGGCAAGCACATTTCTAAGTTCTCCAGGACTTGTGCTATCGAAAGAGTACTAGTAGTTTGAGGAAAGAGTTTTATCCATCGAAAAACTAGTGAATTAAGAAAAAGAACGTGTAGTGGTGTGAAACATATATTATTTTGGATTTTACAGCGTTATTTATAATCTCTACATCGTGAGAAAAATGAAAGAGGAATTGTAAGTAGTCGTTGAGGGGAATAAAAGAGAAATGCTTAAAGATGGTGAACGATATGCAGAGAAAGATGAAACGTAAAGGAGAGTGGAAATGGCAAACGGCTAATGATGATAAATTAATTATTTTCACTTAAATTAGAATCGCTTGCCCCACATTTTTATGTGCTTATGTTTAATTTGCACTTAGCAGCTACTTCATTTACCCAGACTTTCGCTTTACGACATTTAGAACCTACAATTATTTTTTCCTTATAGGCAACACACTTTTCACTGAAGAAGCGATCATGCAGCAGCACGTCATATCACATGGCTATGACAGAGAGTGACATATGTAAGCATAATTTTTTCTAATGTGCTTGTTTAGAATAGTTTTAGACCATCTATCGTACTTTGTCATTTAGGGGCATCTCTAAGTGCTCGGAATACTACAGACAGTGTAAGCGTAAGCAGCCTTTACGCCTCCATGAGGAAATTCACAAGTGCAAAATATTTACGTTCTGACTCACCAAGAGGGAATTTAGGTACTTTCCCACTGCAAACGCGAATACTGGAAGGAATGGTCTTTAATACAAGTGCTTTGTAATCGCGATTTGGTGTTGTGTTATAAGTTTGGACTACCAAAACACTTAGTAACGTTGGAAACATATGCTTATCCCTTCTTCAACAGCCAAAAAGCATGCAAATGTCTAAACGACGGTGCTCGAAAGAGACACCCATTCAGGAGCATCACTGGGAGAATGGTTATAGTAAGCATCTGAAGAAGAATAAACAAATGACGGAAGAGTTCCAACACAATAGTGAAGAAGCTCACCAAATGGAAGAACGAAATGCTTCAGAGCTCAGAGTCTGAAGCAGAATGCGGTCGTCCGGAATGGACCTCAACTGTTTAAGCGATAAATGATCGCGAATGTCTGATTTGTGTCAGAAGCTTTTTATATATTTTATTTTATATAAATTTATTTTATTTCATATGTTTCAAAGCTATTTTATATTGAGCAAATTGATTTGCTTTCTCTCACTTCCCGTATTTATTGCTTAGCTTCCACTACCAACTGAGCTACGAAAACACTTGAAACGTCAAGAAGAGAGACTAAAGGCAAGAATGACACGTTAAGATATTGATCTTTGTTTAGTTAATGTTGTACTTTAATTTACATCCCCCTTTGCTGTACATGGTGACCGTCTCATTGGAATTTTTTATCACTGCACTTAGTATCCTCAACTATTCTGCTGTTTTGTATAACAGGATGATTTGTGTATATCATCTAAATCTCACTATACCTTAATTGTTATACTCTATGTGATACTTGTTCTTCATACAACTTTATCAATCCATTGCAAATCTAACTCTTATTTCAATGGTTTCTTACAGATGATTTTTTTCCTATTATTGCTTCACATCATCAGTTGCTCCTCTTGCTCAGAATTGTTATGTAAACCCTTAAAGCACAGGTTCAAGATACATTCAGTGGCCACAGAGAAAAAAAACAAACGTACCAAATCGTACAAAGCCAAGCATTCTGCATTGTGCTAATGATTAATCCTGAGGGTATCCATACTCTGGAGCTCTGACTCAAGCTCAGACTTTGACTTAGGCTTTAGCCCTAGCTCAGAATTGAACTTGCTCTTAGGTATGGGTTCAATTACAATCGTTTCTCGCTTTCGCAATTGTCGTTGATGGTGATGGCTTGTCTCGAAGATCATGCACGCAAAGCCTATTTTGCGGTCCTAAACACGCTGTTCTCTGCGAAAGCAGATGGCTGACTTTAGTCACAGACACGTTTGCACATCGTTTTGGTGGCGATGTTTCCATTCTCTAAAAGTTCACTATTTCTTTCGTCCTTCTATCATATGTCTTCATATTAAGTGGCAGACTCAACTGTGCTTCGTTATTAATGTATATATTCTGTATTCCGAGGATGGAATAGTTTTCAAAGATCTGAGCTGTTCAAGCAACCTAGACGTTGTGAGTGTCGGTGAATTCCAAGAAGAGTTCGTTCAGCTATCCTGTTAATAATGCACTGGCTTATTAACGTGCTTGAAATATACCCACGTTTCTGCTGCATAACATAACGATGGGAGTACTTTGATCTCAAAGGATTGAATCGGAACGGTGAACACGGTGTTTGTCGCCCGTTATTTGGTTTATATTGAAGACTCCGAATTTGGCAAATGCTTCTCTCGTACCACTATCTGATTCCTTTTCAAAATTCTTGGCACTTTGATTTCTAGTGTTTCATTAAGACCACGCTCAAATTTCAGCATCTCATAATTATTATTCGAGCCAGCATGTCATGTGGTCTGTTAAATGGGCTGACTTATAAAGCCCTGTACACGTGTTTCGACCCTGACTGTCTGATCAATAAGGCGGTACCCATCGTCTTTATCCACTCCTCTTGAGGCGTTCAGCCTCTATACTAAGAGTAGACGACGACGAATATTTACAGTGCGTGTCAAGCGAAAATATGACTGAACACACAGCATTGTTCACTCGATTGCTCTCTATCTGGTAGTTTTATGATATCATACTTTTATTTCAAGTGTTTTATCAAGACCAAGCACAATTTCCAACGCATCACGTAACTATTATTCGAGCCGAACTGAGAACATGTATCGAGCTCCATCAGTCAGCCCACTTCGCGCACCACATGTTGGCTCAAGTAATAATTACGAGATCCTTATCCATTCTTTTCGTCTACTCGAAGCTTATCATATGCCTATCAGATCTCGCAGTTGAGGAGATCCATGAATCGCGTGGAAATTTGCACTCAAATCGCCGACTGCGGGAAAGATGTCTTCTGAAATTCGGCCAGCACCCATGACTTTTAAGTTAATTCGTTTGTGCGACTCAAATATTCGAGCCCATTCAAGGGCTGATCACATAATAAGAAGAGAGGATATGGACTATAGATCAGTTGAGTAAACTCTACGGGAATGCAAACGCTTCCGAGATTATGGAGTACATATTTGTGGCTAACGTCAGACGTGTGCAATCCCAGATGAAGATGGATTTAGAATTACAGATATGCCTCACAACCGCCACCATGTTCGACGGAAATTACTGCTATGGATGGCGCATGCGCTAGAGACGTGGGTGTTGAGTTTCATAATACTCGTAACGACGGTTTATTCAGTTGAGGTAAAGGTCGCCTTTTCTGCTTTCGTTTCTACTTTAACCTGCTTTCTATCAGATCTTTGATCGATATATATGGCTAGAAACACAGTCTGTATATAAATTTTAGGACTGACGCTAGAAAATAGGCACTCTAGTATCTTTGATATTGTGACGGGGAGATCGAAAACATCGCCGCATAGAACGCTCGAGAATTTGAATAAATTTCAGACATGCAGAGGTTAGAATCTCTTCTCACGCATAAAAAGAGTTTGTCTAATCAGACTGTGCTTCAAGCTAGTTTTCATGTTGCGAAGAAGGCGGAATCGCCAAAACGTTAGCTATCATTGCAATATACATTGCAGTAACATCGTGTCTGTTTGAGAAAAAAGCGCCGAGCGACACTTATTTACATGATGCTCATGTCTGCTGTTGAATCAGTTGTTGGCAAATTTCATCATCTACATATTTATTATATGAGAAGGATTCTAGAAATCAGAACACTAGCAGAAATTTGTCAAGAATTCCTTTTCCAACAGCTTTTATCAGTAGCATGATGTCATGAAAAAATTTTCATATTTCCTTTAGAAACTCAATTTTATAGAACTAGAGAATTGAGTGGCGAACAAAAACAAGGCCTCAGGCGGGAATCGAACCCACGTTTCATCCTATCCGGGGACGCGTGCTCTACCACTACACCACTGAGGCACATTTGCCCGACCACTCATTCTTCAACATCTCAATGTTAGCTATCAGCCACCAACCTTTGACAGGTTTGGTCGGGTATGCGATTTCGCTTTATAAAGCCAGTTGAGCTGATAGCTATTTTAATTAGTAATACTTCGAAATTGTAGTATTTTCACTGCTTTTTTGTCAAAGGACCAACCTCCTGTCAAAGGTTGGTGGCTGATAGCTAACATTGAGACGTTGAAGAATGAGTGGTCGGGCAAATGTGCCTCAGTGGTGTAGTGGTAGAGCACGCGTCCCCGCATAGGATGAAACGTGGGTTCGATTCCCGCCTGAGGCCGTGTTTTTGTTCGCCACTCAATTCTCTAGTTCTATAAGTAACATAATAACACTGCGAAAAATGCAGTGAAAATACTACAATTTCGAAGTATTACTCAATTTTATATTTGTTTTACACACTATCGACTACTGTAAATCCGTGAGATTATCTCAAAAGTATTTCCATATAAAACCTTCACGGCAGCGCTAGTTATAGTGCATTAAACTTTGATTTACTCTCGAATGGGGGCGCCGTGGCCGAGTGGTTGTGATGTTGGTCACGACGCACATGGAGCCGAGTCCCACACCAACTTCTCTCCGGTAATCAAAAACAGCGTCGTATGGAATGCCACAGGTTATCCTCGAGATTGCAAGGAGACTCGCTCAACCAGTATTCTGTGCTGTTCAAGAAGAAGACGGAAAACGAATTGAACCTAGAAGTATTGGGATCCTTAAAGTGAAAAAACACTGTGATGACAGATCAAATAAAGTGCTAAAGTGCTAAGAGATATCAAATGACGACGATGAGCGAACTGAGTTTCGCGTTTTGATACACTATTGCTGGAAGCGACAGCTCTTGACAAGAGGTGTTGCTAAGGAGAATTGTGGTGCCGAAGACGATGGGACTGTGAGTCATGTGATGTGGCAAAGCAGTACAAACGAATCTACGATACGTTAAAGGAAAAGTAATCGACATTGATTCGTCAAAAGCGCGCGATGTTTAGCAAGACAAATGCCAGCCTCACACCACAAAGAAGGCTAGGGAAAAGTTTGATGAATTGTAGAAGGTTAAGGTCTTGTCGCACCATGCTTACACTCAAGATACTGCACTGTTCGATTATGGTCATTTCTCTTTCGATGGAACATTTTCTGTGTGGCCAATTCCAGACATTTGATCAAGTTTACACGTCAACAGATTTTTCTTCCACACCCCAAAGAATGACCTCATTCGAGCAGATCAAGAAGTTGGCAGATTGTTGGAAGAAGATTGTGGTTAGCGCTAATCTTTATCTTGAAGAATAATTGTGTTGCTCTTGGTATAAACTTTGAATTTTCAGCGGGTGTTGAGGAACTGTTTTCTCAACCTAATATATGTTGAACAAGAAAGATGAGCAAAATTTTGGATCCTGGAAAGAGTTGAATCTACGTTTCATTCTTGGCGGGGGCGAGTGCTATCACTACACCACCAAGACCACTATCCTGGCATCACTTTTCCTTTAGAAGCTGGAATTTTCGCTAGTCGCGATCACAGCCGTTATGTCCATAGAACACTAAATGTTAGATTAGTGTTCACGACTAAGATATTATGTTACATTTCGTTTGATTCATTTCATCAGCAGAGTTTCCAACTACTTCATAGAAATTTCAGGATATTATGCCTGATAGTTATTTTTGACTCATGTATGTGGTCTGTTGTGGGCGCTCATGCAATGCAATACACGTTTTTCGGCCTTGTCTGTTACCATTTACAACCATTAAATGACGCTATTTGCAATCAAATGAATTATAACTGCTCAAAATGAAGTTGTATATAATACTGGTGCTTAATTATTAGGTAAATTTTTTCCTATAATCGTTTACTGACTGTTACTTGAGTACATAGCATAGATACATAATGGTAGTAACTCTGTCTGTGTAGTGTCCATTGACTCTGTCTTTGATTGGTTATTATCGTTCGTGTCTATTTGCAAATCTCATTCGTTGTGAGCGGAGCTTGCCGCTACGGCGGTGGACCAAGTCGTTTGGGTTCTGTTTGGCCTGCCACCGGGGATGGGTCCGAGTCCGTGTATATAGACCCCGAGAAGCTTTCCGACATATTTATTCACCCACTGGCTCAAACCCTCGGTGTCTAGGTCTGCTCGAGGCAAGCATAACTGCTTCCCGAGGTCCAACGCCTGATCAAGCCCCTCAGACTACCGTTCACCTCGCTCACTCAGCAATCCTCAGTTTATATCGTTTCCACTTTGCCACTACGCACTTAGTCATGTCGCAACATTATCGTAGTTACAGTTATACGTTGTTATTATTGTTATGTTCTTGTTGTGTTATTATTGTACTTATGTATATATTTTTAGGTTGTCTTATTATCCTCTATGATGAAACTAATATTAACTCGAGGCGTCAACATCAGTAGCCGTCAGCGGCAAGACTCATCAATCAATCAACAGATCAAATCACTGGCAACTGCGGGACAACCCCGTTGCTATATGGTGCATTGGCCGGGTATCGCACCCGGGTCGCTCGCGTGGCAGGCGAGCATTCTACCACTGATCCACCAGACCACCAGAGCTCGAAATTTGGTAGCAATAGTCCGAAAGTGAACATCTTGGTCTGTGGGCGTGTGCTACCACTAAGTAAGATATTATGACGCCATGTTACTATTTAAGGATATCAATTGCCAGCCTACTTAGTAAAAACTTGTAAATTTACCAAGAATATGGGAGGTAAAGAATCTCCATAAATATGGCGCTTATTCCTGGAGTTTGATCATGAGCTACGGTGTCAAAATCTATATGCTCTCGTTCTAATGTACACTTTTGTGAGACAGAAAAAAGCAGCCAAAACTAATTTCCTGAGACGGTCATGCTATCTTCGGTTGCTATGAAGGAAGGGAAGAAAAAACCACAACGCAGAAAGCGCAGCTTTTCATGAGAAAGTTCAGACGACTGTCCAGTCGTGCATGTACACCATACCGCCTATACTGGATGAGAATGTATTGACAATTGACAATTTGGGTGTTACATGGTCACGGAGGCAGTTCTGCCTCGTCGCAAGGAGACTGGTTAAATGTGTAGAGTGATTAAAGATGCAGACCATTGGGATAATGGTTTCGTTACCTTCCCACTACGCTTCACAACAGTCTTTTTTGCCTTCAGTTCAATATGCACCATTTTATTAACACACCAATCACATCATATCTCGTATCTTAATACCGCAACACAAGCGACGTATTGATTCAGTCATCCATTCAACAATCTGCTTTGTATCAAAATTAATAAATTGTTAACGATTGACCTTTTTCTGCTATAATAATAACATATATAGAAAAACCTTTGATACTAATCGACACCAGGAAGTCTGCTGTGAAGCGTCGCGGTAGGGAATTGAAGCAGAAACCTTCGTCCGCATGGTCTGCTTCAGTAGGCATCCGGAGTAATGGACTGCTCGTCGCCCAAAGTGCGATTTTTGTAATCCAATAAGGAAAGCTTTTCCCGCTTCAAAAGAAATTCCAGATCAAACGTGTGATTCTGATACTAAGAGATCTCCTCTGCACCATAATATGCTTTTAGTGCTTCCAGCAAAGTGATATTAAAGTGGCGCTGCAGACGTAAAAGTTAATTTTATTTCGAATATTGCAACGTAAACAAATGGTTTTCTTCAAAAACGGTCATGTAACGCAATAGCTAGGAATATAAGCCATCAAATGATTACTAACACTCTAATGAAAAGACCTTGACCAGCGAAAGGGGTCAAATCTCTATTTGCCACCCTATAATAGACAACAACTAAAGTGTGCTTCACACGCGTTGCACATTTGTTTGCGTCTTCGTGCGTTGCAGCTCGTTTTTCCCCGCATGACAAAATTTTTTCCTTAAGGATCTAATGTTGTTCGCCATTAAATCTCAAAGAATTTCAAAAGTTTGCTTTTGCGTCAGAAAGGCTTCTTACAGCGCTGTAACAAAAAGAAAAGTTTTTGTGTTTTCACGCCACGTCCATTCTCGCAAGACAGAGCTCTTTACGAAAAACAGGAAATATATAAATCTGATACTCTAAAATTTTTCTAGACAACCAAAGTTCTAAAATTAATTCTGTACTAGGCAATCTTTTTACGAATCAAATTGAGAATCACATATGTGAGTTCATAATGGCACGACCACATTACCTCTTTCCATTTATAAAGTAAAAAGTAAATAAGATTGCAGAGAGAACCATCACTATATGTTTGAATGTGACTGAGGCTATTGCGCTCAGCTTAATCCTCTTCGTACAACGAGGGCACGCCGCCCATCCTCGCCTCGCCGTACGTGACGACCAGTCGGAGGTTGAGGTGGAGTTTGATGATACGTGGCGAGGCGGGGATGGCGAGGTGTCCGCGTCGAATCCAAAGGGTTAATACACGAACTTACCTTGATAACCTATAGCATGCCTATATAGTGCTCATAGAGTGAATTACATTACGAAATTTGTGAAAACGTGATGAGAAGGGAGGTATTTCCCACAATTTGAAGAGCAATTTCGATTAGCGACCTTCAACATAATAGTCTATCAGACGCACTATTTATCAACTCTGTCAGCGCCTCAAATCTGTCACTAAGAAGGAAACAGTGAGATATTTCCACCCACAAAAATACTGCCATTAGAAAGGAAGTAAAGAGAAGATGCTGTCGTGAAGAGACTGGAAGAAAAAGCATGATTTTTTTTCGCCTCTCTTGTTGCTCAACACATTACAAAGATGGTGAATACCAATTATTTCTTTATGTGAACAAAACCTGTGTAAATGCTTGAGATTTTCGGAACCCAACGCAGGATATGCGTACTTAGTAGCATTGTGTTACAAAGAAAGCTATATGAGACCGTATAGAAGCGCTTAACAGGTATAATATATTCATGGACATATCACGTAGCACCATAAAGAAATTGTTCAAAGTTACGTCAGTTTCAATAAGGAAATGGTGCAAAATTACGTCAGCTCAATAAAGAAAAGGTGCAAAATTGCGTCAGTCCCAAAAGTCCTGTCTCGACCAACCTGCGTCATTTGCGTGGCGTCCCGCGCGGAGGGTGGGTCGCATGACGCCGAGCTTGGCACAAGTTGCCCACGCTCCAGGACTTCCCTAGACCGCTGATACAGTATGTTTTTTTTCATTGTTGTATCACTCTGTTTTTTCCTCTTTTTACATCGTTTGGATTCACACAGCCAAACTTAAGTGGCATCACATGAGGCCCGGCAAGGTTGAGCTCGTTCGACACGAAGTCCTGTGACTCCGGACACAGCTATTCGTTTACGATAGCCCGGTTAGTTCTTTGCAAATTGCTTCGTATCGTTCTACATGGCTGGTCGTATGACTCGAGTGAGAGCCATTAAATTTCTACTTTTGTGTATCTTTGCTAATTAACATTCTGATAACCTCTGCTGATGTCGTGATGGTCACAACAAAATGTTGACACTTCCGCTATTCACAGTTAATACTGGTTTTTCCAACATTCAACATTAGAAATCTTGAGTAACTAGCAGTTTTTTTATAATTAGGATTGTCCTTAAAATACAAAAATTACATATGTTATTCAACTGGGGACCAACTAATTGTATTGCACACTACATTTTTTTCAATGCAAGTCGTCTGACAAAAACATTGCTCTCAGCATTTGGTGGAATTTTTGCTAATGACTCTGATTGCATCGTGACATTTCCTACATTCTACTCCATACACTACAACAACAGCGATTGGAAACAGACCACTCATTACTTTTGAAGTTTGAATTTCGTTTGCAAATCTGTTATCTCAATCTAATTTTTACCCCATGGAGGACTAGCACTTTTTTGATATTCTCTTAGACAAATCGACGCTTATTTCTTGAAAATGCCTTTTACTGCGCTGTAGCAGCGAAAATAAAATTCAAGTTTTACATTCAACGTGCAGTTTTTGCTCGACTTGAGTGAGTGAATGGCTGTGCAGGTAGATTTCACAACGTTCCCAAAAACTGCACCTAGGTGAGAAGTAGGCAGTGGTCGGATCACGAGTGAAATTTCGGAGCATCAATGGCATCGCTCAGACTGAACCTTCTAAATATTAAAGTGTAATGTCGTGTCGTTAGTGAACCCGCTATGAAGAGATTTTCCAAGTTTTCCGTTGAGAATGAAGAGATGGGGAGTGGAAAAGGTGCAAGAAACCACAAAGAGGACATTCCCACTTGACATTTTTTTGTTCCATCTTCACTGAGTTTTTTTTTTTTTCATACTATGCGGATCCCCAGTCCTTCTAGCATCAAAATTCGCACAGTCGTCTTCCTCTTAAGTATTGTAGAATGCTGGTTGAACGAGTCTCCTTGCAGTCGCAAGAATAGCCTGGCTGTGGCGTTTCATAGGACGTTGTGCTTGACCGACAGTGAGAGGTGAGGAGCGCAGCTTGACTCCATGGTGCGTCCGACGAGCATCATAAGCCACTTGGCCTCGGCGCCCCCAAAAAGGCATTCAACTGTAACGAAATGTGGTGAACCACGTAAAACAGTGCGAAAAGCTCAAAACCAATGTCTACATTTCAAGGTCTCTCCTATGATTCAACAGAGATTGCAGCTGCTAAAGTACACTTATAACCAAAAATTATTGAGAGTTGTCGATGGTAGTAGCTTCATGTGCATATGCAATATCGTTTTTTGAAAAAACTAGTCATTGTTTTGATATTTTTTTTAATCACTGTAGTGGCATTCGGTGCAATGCATAATTTAGGGATATCAAAATGTGAGATGTTTGTATAGCAATATTGTATATTTATAAAACCAATTATCTAAATTATTTAGAATGTTTTTTATTTGACCGCTCAAATGTGAAATATTGTATAAAGCTATATTTGTAATATTACGAAACCAATTATCTAATTAATTTGAAATGCCTTTTATTTGACCACCTTTAGCAGCGGTAAAATCAAATTAGATACCCAATTATAAAGAGTGGTATGGAGAAATATTTTACGTCAGGTGGGATTCGAACCCACATTTCATCCTATCCGGCGCTCAGCACGCGCCCCGTGGATTAGCGTGAAATGCGGATTCTAATCCCAGCTGACGCAAATGTTTTTTTGCACATCACTCTTTTATCATTGGGTATCTAACTGATTATTTTGATTATCATTGGTGCTAAGCAATGTATAAAGGCGACTTCGTGTTTTGCATGAAGAAAAAGTAAAGGTTAAATAAGGGTTGATATATACCTTTGTATACGGCGCCGTTTTTCGCGGTG